TGGAAGTTAGAATTTTCAAAAAAGCAAGTCTCAAAAATATTGCAAAGATGATCTTTTAATAAAAAATTCTTTTAATAAAAAATATTTGTTAAAAAGTTACTCTATTACCAGAGTTGTTGTTTTGCCTGTGTTGCAACTTCACAGCAACAATATTTCAGTAAGATGTTCTACCTGAATCACACAAGTTTAAAACACGCATATTACGATTTTCTGAATATGTATCTGCAATGACAGATACATATATTGCAAATGCGAATGCGGCAACAATTGCTTGTTATTTATATTTTTTTTCATGCAATTACATGAAAATATTAAAAAAAAATGTTATTATACGTATAATATATATATAAATATAATTATAGCATTATTAAAAGTCTTTTGCATTGACATTGTTATAATATTTATACCTAATGCATATATGTAACAACATGTAACACGTATATATGTTATATGTTATCTTATCAATGAGGCCATTAGGAATGAAAATAAAATATTTGTTATCTTTGTGAGCATATAGTTACTGTGACTTAACTCGTCCACGAGTGTGAAAATTTTGGTCGAATAGGGGATGGGAAATGTACATGCGTTCGAAGTGCTTGTCGCAAGAATTATATTAAGAATATTATTTATTAAAAATAAACAAAGTGAACGGCGAAAAAGAGTCGACGCATAATACATTTAATTAAAGATAATAGTCATAGATACATAAAATAAGAAGAAGTAGAACGGCGTATATTAATATATAAAACAATAAACAATTACAAGTTTCGGCTGCTGGATTCATTTTATTTTACATCTGAGGAGGGCTCAATCCAGCAGGCGAAATTTGTAATTCTTTATTTTTTTATATATTAATATACGCCGTTCTACTTCTTCTTATTTTATGTATCTATGACTATTATCTTTAATTAAATGTATTATGCGTCGACTCTTTTTCGCCGTTCACTTTGTTTATTTTGTTTATACGTAAAAAGTCTTTACATCGTTGTTATTTTATTTATTAAAATATTCTCGAATGATATTAAGATACTTATTAAAATATGTTAAAATATGAAAAAAGTTAATTAATCAATTTTGGAACATAAATTAATTAATTTTCTTAAATATTTCATCTAAATTCATTTCGAAATAGCGGAAGTTTATATCACTTAGATTATATGTCTGCAATGCGTATTTCTGAAATCTATTTGATAGGCCTGTTAGCTGACCCCAGTAAGTTGAAATATCTGTTTGAGATATAGATTGCAATTTTTCATCGTCTTGCGCGAGTACCACCTTAAAATTATGATACAGTTTTATTTTATAGCCATAAAATTATACCAATAACCATTAAATATGATATTTTATTAATCATAGTTATATTCTTAAGAGAATTAAAAATTATTTTTTAGTGATATGTGAAGAATAATTGCATTTAGATGTTTTACCGTGTTGTTAGCAGATTTCGTACAAGTGTTTGTGCCTAGAACAGAATTTGTTCCGTAATCAGTGTAAAATATATAATGACATGTTGATGAGAGTTTTACTGTTTGGTTTGATAATTTTTTAACGAGTTTAGTTTGTTTATTAGCCTCTTCTTTATTTGGACATTCCATTAGCGTCTTTATTTTAATTTTATATATTTCTTTTCCCGATATAGAAGCGTAATAAAATTCTAAAATGTTTAGACAAAAAAGATTATAAACATCACAACAAAATGCTTTTGATTATTTGCAACGAAGTGTAATATGGATTGTTATCGCGCACAGCATAAATGTATATGAATATAAAACAAAAAAAGGAAATTACGGATGGAAATGATGTAAGTGTCAGTCTAATATAAAAGTAAAAATTTTAATATCCGATGATAAGATTCAATTTTACAATTGAAATAATACTCATTATATTAAAAGTCGAATACTTGCCATCGCCCATGATTGTCATACTGAAGATACCGCCCACATAAGTAAAAATGTCACCGTCTACGAGGAAAGTAGTATTAGTGGGCTTCATGTAATCAGATTCGACTCTGCACATATGCTTTCTGGATGAGTGATATATCACTATGCCGGAACCTTTTGAATCAGCCATAAATACCTGTGTGTATTCACATGTTTATAATACGCTTAAATACGTAAAATATGAGAGATGTTAAACGTGTAACTAAATTAAATTTGCATACAAATATGTACTACTGTGATTAAAATAAAAAACATACTAACAATCATTTTATCCAGAAAGTGCGTGCATTTCTCATTTGGAACATAAACAAAAACATCTACTAATAATCCAGAGCCCGTTTTGTTAGTAGCAATATCAAGTGGGATATAAATAGTTTTAACCAGCATATCATTTTTTAAATCGAAGATCAATAGTTTTGGATTACAAATTTGTTTATTAGTTTCTCCGATTTGGCCGTTATCCAAAACAAAGATGTGGTTGCATCGAATCTGATTGCATGAAATTAAAAATTCTGTTTCACGTACGATTATCAAGCTGACTATTGAGTGTGTATATAGGTATGCTTAATATATAATAGACTGTTGATTGTTAATTAATATTATATATATACATAATGTACAATATATAATATAGATATGTAATATGTATTATTATAATATTATATTATATTATACTATATTATATTATATTATATTATCATATATATTGTTATATATGAACATTAGATTTGTTAATAACCCGTTTGAACAAAAAATATTAATACTTACATGCGTATAGTAAACATTTATAATACCATCACATTTACTAGTACAATTACTATTATGCCAACTCCAATCTGGATACGGACTGCATTACACGAAAATTTTCGCTAAACATCAAACATATTGAGTGAGACAGTACAATTTTAAACAGGGCACAATTCTGAAGAAAATGTAATAATCCAATTTTTGAAGTTCAAGTTTAATAATTCTAATCTCATATGTGAAAGGTATTAAAGGATATCAAATTAAAAAATTAAATTTGAACAGTGAAATAACAACAAAAGAAGTTATTATCGAATCCTTGTAGAAACAAATTGAAATTTCAAAATAACTAAAAAATTGGTAATAAGACGTGCGCAATATAAATATACTTATATTTGGAAAGTAGATTCAAATTTTATTTCGTTAAGTATTGTGCCATGTTTAAAATTATCGTGCCATGTTTTAAATCTATTACCTTACTCTGCTCAAGAAATTGAAATAAAATAATTGATTTAATTGACATTATCAAAATATCACGGAAGATGTTATTTTGACGTCCAAATAACGATAAAAAACATCAGCTTGTTTTCTGGGAATATATTTTATTTTTGGTACAACGAGTATACTTAGTTCAGTTATAAAGACCTAATGTGTCTTGCGAGTTTTGCGGTATTGAATTTCTTAAATTAGTTTATATTCTTCTCAGATACGAAAGAGCGATTGGAAACTGCTGAAAATCCCGGAATTGTTATTGCTCGCTATACTGTGACGATGGAAACTTTTCTCGTAACACACCGCAATCAGCGCAGGTCGCGACAGCATGACCGGATACGAGCGATACCCGACAATGAAATAAGTAATCGTTATTACCGGGACCGTTCTGAGGAAATAAAGAGAGAATGGGGAAAAAGTTTTAATCACGTCGCGACGACGGATCGCAATTAATGGAAAACGAGAAAGAGAACAGTCAAATACGACGGTAGAAGGATTGGCAGGAAACTGGTAATATAATGAATTATGATTAAATGAGATACGGAATATGTACAGTGTTTCGAAATTTACGAGTTAATACATATCACAGCAAACTTGTTTTCGAAAAAAAGTTAAAATATATGCTATTTTTCGTTTCGAACAATATTATAGTTATGAGATAAAGGTTTAAAACTAGTTAATTATGATAAAACGACTACCTGTCAATGAGTCGTCATTTAATTATTAATTGATTATGACCAAAACAAATCCATATAGCTGTAAAAAGTTATCGAAATTTTTAATATTGTATACGAGTACATTGTTTTAGAAGTGTATTATAGTTATCAGAATTTCTAGTATGATATTATCTAGAATGAATTATTGACTGTAAAATTCAAATTCAAATGCAGATATTATCATACTAGAAATTCTGATAACAATAATAAAACTTTTAATATAAATACAAATACACACACACACACACACACACACACACACACACACACACACACACACACACACACACACACACAAAAGACAATTTTTTTAAACGTTTAATAATTTCCGCAATCAATTTTAGCAAATTTCTGTTTCGATAATTTTTTACCTAGAATAATATAGATATATTTTAGTTATAAA